GCACCTACTGCCTGCAATATAAAAGATTCTCGAGGGATGCCTGGGTGGCTCAGTGGATTAAAGCCTCTGCCTTCGGCTCAGGTCATGATCCCAGGGTCCTGGGATTGAGCCCCACATCGGGCTCTCTGCTCAGTGGGGAGCCTGCTTCCTCCAATCTCTCTCTCTCTGCCTGCCTCTCTGCCTACTTGTGATCTCCATCTATCAAATAAATAAATAAAATCTTTAAAAAAATTTTAAAATAAAGAAAATTAAGAAAAGATTCTTGAAAATCACACTGCATAAACACAAGCAAGAAATACATACCATATAATTCCTTTTATTTAATAATCTGTAATTTTCCAAAACAAGCAATGCTAAATTATAATTTTAAGGATGTATACTTATATCACCAAGCCATAAAGTAAAGCAAAAAAAGGTGACTAGACAAAGAGAAAATGGTATTTACCTCTAGGGAAAGGAAAAGGGTTGAGATTGTTAAGGTACACGCAGGAGGCTTCTGAAGTATGGTAACGCTTTCTTTTCTTTTTAAGATTTTGTTTACTTATTTGACAGAAAGAGACAGCGGGAGAGGGAATACAAGCCGGGGGAGTGGGAGAGGGACCCTGGGATCATGACCCTAGCCAAAGGCAGATGCTTAACAACTGAGCCACCCAAGCACCCCTCTTCTTTTCTTTTTTAAAGATTCATTCATTCATTCATTCATTTTAGAGAGAGAGAAGGCATGTGTGCGTGCACACATGCCCATGAGGGGGAGCAGGGACAGAGGGAGAGAATCAGACTCCCCACTGAGCCAGAGGTAGATTGGATCTCATGGTCCATGAGATCATGACCTGACCTGAAACTAAGAGTCGGATGCTCAATCAACTGAGCCACCCAGGAGCCCCAGTGCTTTATTTCCTTAACCTGGTTATACTGCAAAATCCCTGCTTTGTTATAACTCATTAAGCTGGATAATTATGCTTTATGCATTTTTCTGGTATATGTTACATTTCACAATTCAAAAGTTGGGGTTTTTTTTACTTTTTTTTTTTAACTCTACTTTATTTTTTCAGTGTTCCAAGATTCATTGTTTACACATCACACCCAAGTGCTCCATGCAATATGTGCCTCCTTAATACTCACCACCGGGCTCATCCAACCTTCACCCACCTTTCCTCCAAAATCCTCAGTTTGTGAGTTAGAAACTTAACCTATCTTTAATTCTATTAACATCTAATATGGATTTATTTTTTTTTCTTGCTTCCCTACCCCAACACTCTAGTCTAATCTTATTTACAGTCTCAATCAGTTACAGAAAACAAGTTTGTAAGTATCTACATTGACTTTTATTTGGTATAAGCACAGCTTCTTCCAAGGAACTTCCCCTAAATGACTATTTAAACAGATTCATTGACTCTGCATGATTTTATGTATTTACTTCAGTATATGATGTTACAGGCTTAGCTCAAAACTCCTGAAAGCTTTCTCAAGTAGAATTCTTAACTGGGGGGCGCCTGCGTGGCTCAGTGGGTTAAAGCCTCTGCCTTCGGCTCAGGTCATGATCTCAGGGTCCTGGGATGGAGCCCCGCATCAGGCTCTCTGCTCAGCGGGGAGCCTGCTTCCCCCTCTCTGTCTGCTGGCCTCTCTGCCTACTTGTGATCTCTCTCTCTGTCAAATAAATAAATAAAATCTTAAAAAAAAAAAAAAGAATTCTTAACTGGAATCACAACACAAAACATGATTTAACCAACTATTTTCTTAATTCTTCCAAGAACAGTTAAGAGGTAATGTTCTACATGCACATGAGAAACGTTAATTTATTACTTCATGACATTATGGTAAGAGAGGTAGAGTACACACACAAAAATTATTCCTTGACTCAATTTCAGTTAACTTTCTGTGGGCTTTTAAAAACATAATTTAGGGGCACATGGGTGGCTCAGTTGTTAAGCGTCTGCCTTCGGCTCAGATGATGATCCCACAGTCCTGGTATGGAGCCCCGCATCAGGCTGCCTGCTTGGCGGGAAGCCTGCTTCTCCCTCTCCCACTCCCCATGCTTGTGTTTCCTCTCTCACTGTCTCTCTAGCAAATAAATAAATAAAATCTTTAAAAATAATAATAATAAATAATTTAATTTTTTGTAGAGCAATAGTAATAATTGCAGTTAATATTTGAGGTATAAATCATCAGGTTCTATATATTTCAATAAAAACTAGGCTCACTTCTTTCCAGTGATTTTTTAAAAAGATTTATTTACAGAGAGAGAATGCAGATATGTGCATGTATGGGGGGAATGGGCAGAGGGACAAAATGTCAAGCAGACTCCCACTTAGCACAGAACCCAATGCTGGGCTTAATCCTGCAACCCTAGCATCATGACATGAGCTGAAACCAAGAGTCGGACACTTAACTGACTGAGCCACCCCGGTGTCCCTCCAGTGACCTTTATGATGATAGTATTTGACTGGCTTTTGACTGGCTTTCCACTGGTATTTTAGGCTATTTTTATCAAGGTATCACTTTATAATACCAAGTTCTTTTCCTTTGTTCATTAGTAACATCTTCAATGACAGCACTTCATAAACTTAGTATGGGTTAGTTTTCCCTAAATGCATTACCATGCTCTTACACAAACACACAAATTAGGGAAGTCCCTTACTCCACACGTATTAGGTAGGTGAAACAGGTTGCTCTGACTGAAGTGACCTGGAGATGCAGGTGCAGAAAACATTTACAAGACAATTGGCAACAGAATATAAAGAGTGTCAAATTTATTAAGAACATGACACTGCTTAGAATAAGTATCACATGAACCTTAGAATTATTTATTTCTAAAAATAATTCTGAGTAGACCATTTGAAAGAGTTGTGACCTTTTCCCAACAGAGAGCCATTAAATGGTAGAGGTAGTATTTTATTAACTTAAAGAATTTCTAAAAAACCCTTTACCGAGAAGATTCATGATATAACCATCTCAATGCTTTTTAAAGGCTTAATAGTTTAATGTTGCCAAATTCAAAAATTTTTAAAGATTTTATTTATCGATTTATCCTGGGGGACTGGGGAGCAGAGAGAGAACAGGCTCCACACTGAGCCTGACGTGGAGCTCAATCTCATAACCCTGAGAACATGAGCTGAGCCGAAATCAAGAATTGGATGCCTACTAAATCAGCCAGGTGCCCCAACAAATTTAGATTTGGAGCCAAGTGCCTCATTATTAGAACAATGCCATCAATGTTATCTGTACATGTCAGATAAAACAGTAAGACTAAAATGAACCTGTAATCTACTAAAGACAACATGCACAAATGTAACCTTTAAAACGCTGAGCAAAGTCAGATCATCAAAATACATTTCTGGGATTTCTGGAGTTCTACCACAACTTTACACTAAGTAATTTTTTTTTGCCTATAAAGCCACATGCAAGGACACTATATTTACTAAAAAAATTACTCCTGGATTACTTTATTAATGTTTTCTACCTGCAATTGATATCAAAGAACTTCATTATTCTTATTCACAGAAAGCAACCAACTCTTATCTTAGCAGCATTCAGGCTTTTTACCTTAGCAACAATTCAACCACCAACCACCTAGCATGGTGTCTGGCCCAAAAGGAGCCTAATAATTATTTACTGAATGGAATATGCATAGAACTGAGTCTTGAGTAAAATACCAGAATTATCAGTTATCGATGTGTAGCAGGATTATGAAAAACTTTTATTTACTAACTTATATTTTTATCATTCATGTTTCCTACAATAAACACATTTTTGCTTTTATTATTTAAGAAGTTAGGGGCACCTGGGTAGCTCAGTTAAATGACTGCCTTTGGCTCAGGTCATGATCCTAGAGTCCCAGGTCAAGGCCCGCATAGGGCTCCCCGCTCCGTGGGGAGTCTGCTTCTCCCTCTGACCCTCTCCCCTCTCATGTTCTCTCTCTCTCTCAAGTAAATAAATAACATCTTTTTAAAAAATAAAATTGAAAGAAAAAGCTAACTCTTCCCAACTCATTTTTTAAAATAAACTTTATTATGAACTAATTTTAGATCTGCAGAAAGTTGCAAAGACAGTACAACGAGGTCCCAAATACCTCCCACTCAGTTTCCTCAACTGTTAATATCTTTTATTCCCATAGTACATTTGTCTAAACTAAGAAACTGGCAATGGTACATAACTATTAAGTAAACTCCAGACTTTACCTTTTTTACCAGTTTTTATATTCATGTCCTCTTCCTATTCCAGGTTTCAATCAAAGATATCACAGTGTATTTTAACATGTCTCCCTAAACTCCCTAAACTCCTCTGGCCTACGACAACTTCTCAGTCTTTCCTGATTTTTCATGACCTTGACTGGTGAAGTATCCTGCAAAATGCCCCCCCCACCCCCCACCCCCCATGGAGATTTGTCTATTGTTTCTCTTGGGGTTAGAGTGGAATTACGGGTCTTTGAAAAGAATTATCACAAAGGTAAAGTGCCCATCCTGTCACATCATAGGAGTATGTAATATCCACATGATATCACTGGTGATATTAACCTCCCTTACTTGGTTACAGTAGTGTTTGCCACGCTTCTCCACTGCAAAGTTACTATTTTCTCCTTCTTTTCCTACTTTATTCTTTGGAAGTAAGTCACTAAGTCTAGCACACCCTTAAGGGAAAGGAGGTAGGAAGTAAGCTCCTCCTCCATGAGGAAGGAATATTTACATAAATTATTTGGAATTCTTCTACAAGGGAGACCTGTCTCTTTTCCTCCATTTATTTATTCATTCAATCATTTATATCAATGTCTATCACTTACATCATATATACATGCTCATTTATATTTATTTTATACTTTGGTTATAATCTAATTGTGCACTATTTATTTTGTTGCTCAAATTTTCTGGCTTATACTCGTTCTATTTTTTCGAATGTTCGACGGTCTATACAAGTGGTGCTCTGTTTCCTAAAGCAGTTAGGCGTTTGCGGCGCGCTGCGCTACGCCCACAGGCTTCTTCGGCTTCCGGCTACAGCTAATGCTGTTTCCCTTCTATCGGTTTTGGGAGCCACTCTGAGAGGTATCCCGTTTCTCCAGAGCATTTCGTTGGTTTCGCTGCACGTGCAGCTTTTGTTACCCTATGGTGTCCGCTTCGGCCCCACCCGCGGCCCTGAGCGCCGAGCAAGCCAAGGTGGTCCTGGCAGAGGTAATCCAGGCGTTCTCGGCCCCAGAGAACGCCGTGCGCATGGACGAGGCTTGGGACAACGCGTGCAACCACATGGGCAAATGCTGCAATTCGTGCTGCCCGTGGCCACGCAGATTCAGCAGGAGGTTATCAAGGCTTATGGCTTCAGCTGCGACGGGGAAGGTGTCCTAAAGTTTGCCCGCTTGGTCAAGTCTTACGAAGCCCAGGATCCCGAGATTGCTAGCTTGTCCGGCAAGCTGAAGGCACTGTTCCTGCCCCCCATGACATTGCCTCCCCACGGGCCTGCTTCTGGCGGCAGTGTGGCTGCCTCCTGAGGGTCGGCCCTCCCGCGCAGGGAAGACCTTAATGTTCCACAGGATAATAAACGTGCCTGTGACTTAAAAAAAAAAAAAAAAATTCCAGTTTTGGCTATTTGGAGCTCTTTCAGGTTAATTCCTGTGTTCCTTGGACAATCCCTCACCCTTTTGTGTTTTTTTGTTCTGTTTTGTTTTGACACTTCCTTACTTCTGGTACTACACATAATCTGGGCTCATCTTGTATCTTCCTTGCCCAGTTCTAGAATCAGCATCTCTCCAGGGCAATCCATTATTAAGTCCTGGAGTTAACCATTTAAGATTTTTGTGAATCCAGGATAATCTATCTGAAGGTCAACATGTAACCTCAAAGCTGCACAAGTTAAATAAGTTTAAACTTTGAATACCCAAGCCAAAATTGCCACAAATGACCCTCAAACATAATAGCAACACTTCCACCCTTTATTACATTCTTTTGTTTCCAAAAACTAAGCGGAGTTGGGTGGGTAGAATAGATATTTTGCATTCATTTTTCAGATAAGAAAACTGAGAAATAGAAGTGATGACAATAAGTAATGTCAGGAAGCTAGATATTGATATTGATAGAGCGAATATCTTCCATCCTTTGCCTTCTTCCTCTCAGACAACACCATCACCATGGTGGGACCCTTGGCAATACAGCTGTAACAATATGGTATACTCATAGTTCCTGCTACTCCACTGAATATCCTAGGCTTCCTAGGTGTCCAGTTAAATCAAAACTTTTCTCTATATAGCCATATTAGTTCAACAAATGAAAAGGAAAAAATACTCCTAAAAATCCTAAAAGATGATTGGCAAATATGGTAAAATATATTTTTTTACAAAACAGCAACCTTTCAATGAGCTTCTGCTGTGTGCATGCCAATATATTATGCATTTTAAGAAGGGAGGATAAAATAAACAGCATATGTGGCTGCCCATGATATACTAATATCCTGTCCTCACAAAGTCTAGAAATAAGGAAAATAAGATTGCTCATCAAGAGTTAAAATATGTAAACAATACATAATGGATCAGCTCTAAAACCACGTAGGCGGAAAAATAAACAACATACAAGCCAACAAGATTTACCGGGATAATTATACTGAAAGAAAGTACAGCTTAATCTAGGAGGAGGGCAGGCTATAAAGAAAAAGGCAAGTAAGGAAAGTCAAGAAAGCAAACACAGTAAAAGCAATACAATTAACTAGATAGGAGGGGCCCCTAGCACAAAGCTGGAAAGTCTGGTAAGGCTTTCCAGAGGAAGTGAGGTATAACATGAGAAGCAAAGTACAAGCAATAACTGGTATATGGGCAAAGGAAACATGTTCAAAGACCTGGAGATACAACAGCCTGGCATATGCCCAAACCCTAACACTGACAAGGCCCAGACCAAGAGTACAAAGGAAGACTCATTTGCCACGTGATTAAATATTTAAGTTATCAAGCAAGTCAACAAACTATTAAATAAATATATTCTATCCTCCTACGTTGAAAATACACCTTATAATGACTTATAAGTTTCAGGTCAGTTTTATAGATGTGTAGCCAAGCTAGTGACAATTTGGAAAACACTGCAAGGCATGAAGAAGATTAAAAGCAGCCAAATTCCAACACCAAGAGAAAAATCATTAGTTTGGTGTATTTCTCTCCAAAGTTATGTGCACATATATATATAAAATTTTAAAAGAAATGATAACACATTATAAAGATTTTGCCCTTTAAATATAAGCCTTTCCACTCTTACGGCCTGTAATACAAGTCACTCTATTCAGTTACCCAATGTGCATTCTGCGGCTGGCTTATCTTGAAACAGAACTTTCAAGTGGGGCCAAGTGTGTTCTAAAGACCCCTGAAGACCCCCAAGATCCTTTTCAGGGGACTGATAAGGCTGAAACTTTTCATAATAATACATGTATTATTATTTAAATGATATATATGATCAGTTTCCTACTGCTAATGTAACAAATTACCACAAACTTTGTGGTTTAAAACAATACAAATTTATTCTCTTGCAGTTCTAGAAGTCAGAAGTCTAAAATCAAGATGTCTGCTGGGCTACACTGCTTCTGGAGGCATTAGTATACAGCACATTTATGATATTCTGGCAAGATTCACAGATTTATTTTAGAGTATTTTGTATAGATGGATTCTATAGAAGGTTTCAGAAGTCACCAGTGTATGCGTGTGTTTGTTTTTAATTTATTTTTACCTATTTATTTTTTTTGCTGAAGGTTTGCTACACATTACATAGCAGTGATTTTAGAATTATCTTTTGGAGTTATAATAGTTATTTGTTTATTTCAGCCAGTTTTCTTTAGGAAACTGAAGAGCCTAACAAAGCCCAAGACTGAATAGAAGCCACTAGAAGGCCTCCTAACAGAAAGTGGAGGTTGGGTATCCTTTGTGAAAATATTTTACATCTGCCAGAAGATAGAGTCCAATATATCCAACAGGAAAGGAATATAGAAGAAAACAGAAATAGCTAGAGTCCTTACCATTAATTAGTTACTGTGCTAAAGATTCTACATATGTTATTCACATATTAAAGTCTCAACACACACTTAATTCTCAGAGCAATCATTTAGAGAGTACTCCTACTCTTTAAAGAGGGAAAAAAAAACCAAAAAACCAAGGCATAGAGAGGCTAAGTGACTTGCAGAGGTAGTAACTGGCAGAGCCAGGATGTAAATACAGGTCTACAACTTAAAAGCCACTAAACGTAACAGATCTTCATTCAACACATATGCTAAAACACTATCAGTACTTTCCAGTGATCAACTCCTTATTTTTCTGGTATACTAAAAAGATACAGAGTCATGAAAGAATATTTAATACCCAACTGCTTGTCCAACTATCCACTTAAATGCTGCCCAGATATTAAGCAGACACAGAAACAAGCTCTTTCCTCTGACATCTGCATCTGCCCTAGTCCATGAGGGTAGATCTGAGACCATTTCTTCCAGGATGTTCCCCTTCCAATCGCTGTTAACAGAACCCTATCAGCTATGCTGAAAGAAAGGATATCACTACCTTACAAAAGAACATTCACCGTCTCACAACATAATACATTTTCTTACTGCTGGGACTTCATGTATTAGCTCCCCTTCTAGAACACTCTTTGCAATTCTAAAGGGTTATCAAAATAATATATTTTGATATATTTTTCTTTGAAGTATAACATCTAAAATCTGTACCACCCAATTTAACACTTACATAGTTAACTGTCAACTGCTGTTCCACATCTTGTACTTCAACTAAACTAACCTTCAAGAACCGAATCTGTACGGAAAACACAAATGGCTGCTTACTCTACGGTACTCCAATTTCTTCCTTGCTAACAGAATTTTAACTTTGTTTGGCTGGCATTGTGCCTAATTCCAAGGAACAAATTATGATTGTTCTAACCAGTCAGTAATCCCATTCCTCTTTGTCAGTGATCAGCCTAGGTATGGGCGTGTGATCCAATTCTAGCCAGTGATATAAGAAATCTACTGATACAGTTCTAGGAAAAGTATCTTCTCTGGTAAGAAAAAGAGCAACAAAAAAATCCTTTTTTATACCCTTGCCCATTCCTTCCTAATTGGTACTCTCTCCTATTGAAAACCACAAATAAAGACATCATCAATAGTTGATGGCAGCGTGGAAAGATGGAAACACTTAGGTCCTCCTAAGGGTTTTTACTTCCTTGAGTTAATTCTGTATCTGTATATAAAGAGTTAATTCTGTATCTGTATATAAAGAGCCAAGAAGCTACTCAAACACAGAAAAATGGGTACACTATTAAATATCACCTGATTTTCCAAATTATGGATATATGTGTTTATCTGGTTTATAACTTTATAATTAAATTAGGAAAAAACACATTAGTAATGAAGACAGCAAATGACTAATAATAGCAAAATATTGCATTTTCTTTCTGTATTTTTTTTTTTAATCAAAAAATATCCAGAACTGCCAGGGAACATACAAGGCACTAAGAACTTAAAGTGGCAAGATTCTGAAGAAAAAAATGGAGCAGGTAAACAACAGTCTCAACAACTTTTTGCCCTTGAGCCTTTTCCTGATTTATAAGTATAGAGACCGAGAACCCTAGCAGAAAGTGAAAGTGGGGAGCTTTTGGCAGTCTTACGGGGTCAAGGAGACAGGATCTGAAGTTCAGAATCACCAATGTGGACTTGAATGGTCCAATACCCTGGAGAAATGAGATAGAACAAATCATTCTATGATACTTTTCCCCTAAAAATATTTATGGTTCCTAAATTTCATGAGCAAGAGGCCAAGAAACTAAGCAAAAAGTGGTTAAGAGACTAAACTGATAAAGCAAAGCTGTCAGTAGTCTCAAAATGTAAGGAGATAAAAAACTAAATTTCAGCACCCAACAAAGAGAAGGAGTCTTAGTAAACACATAGCTTTCTACTAAAATCCTCAAGGGCTATGCCCTAAAAATAAAGCAAGTCAAAATATAGACCATCTAGAAAGTCTAAAACCATGAGGCAAATTCTCTTGATCTTTAATGGGATCAATGTAATTTGCTTCTACACAACCTGCCTACCAAGAAAAAAATTAAACACACTACAGGTGAAGGTATCCTCATCCAGAGTATCTTTAATTTTTTGTATACAATATCCAGCATTCAATGAAAAATTAAAAAGCATACCTGAAGTCTAGGTCAAAAGACTGGAAAAACAAGAGATAAAAACAGGCAACATATAAAGACCCAGAGGTCCATGTAGAATATTCAGGTATGGACTTTAAACAAGTAATCAATATGTTAAAAAAAAAAAAAAAAAAAAAAAACAGAGAATTTCTCCCACAGTATAGCAATTTATAGGAAATTAATCAAATCAAAATGTGATGGCTGAAAAATAACTGAAATTCAAAACTTGATAGAAAACAATGAGATACCACTACACACCTATTGTAACAGCTAAAATCCAAACTACTGACAACACCAAATGTGACATGTACGTGGAGCAACAGGAACTTTCTCATTTCACTGTTGGTGGGAATGCAAATGGTACAATCACTTTAAAAGACAATTTCACAGTTTCTTATAAAACTAAACATACTCTTCCCATATGATCCAGCTATTACATTCCTTGGTATTTACCCAAATGAGTTAAAATATCCAAATGAAAAGGAAAAAAAAAAAAGATTAAAAAAACAAAAACAAAGTGCCTAAGAGGAGTGCCTAAGAAACACAAGGAACTCAGAGAAAAGATCTAACACATGTAACTGGAGTCCTAAAAGGAGATGGCAGAAAGAATAGCAGAAACAAGACTTGAGGATTCACTGGTCAAAATTATCCAAAGATTAAAAAAAAAAAAAAAGGAAAAATAAAAATCAAGTCACAATTCAGGAGGCTCTAATAACCCCAGACAGGATAAATACAAAGAAAACCACACTTAGGCAACCCTGGTTAAGTTTCTCAAAACCAAACCGAAAACAAAAAATTCTTAAAAGCAGCAAAAAGGGAAAAAATTAGACCGATAGCTGACTTCTCAACAGAAATAATGGAAGGCAAATGACACAAGAATTTATCTTTAAAGTGTTCAAAGAAAATGACTATAGGGGAATCCTCAGTGGCTCAGCCTGTTGAACATGTGCCTTTGGCTTAGGTCATGATCCCAGAGTCCTTACTTAGCAGGAAGCCTGTTTCTTCCTCTCCCTCTACCCCTATCCCCCCACTCATGCTCCTGCTCTCTCTCTCTGGCATGCACGCAAGCTCTCTCACTCTCTCAAATAAATAAAATTATAAAAAATTTTAAAAAAGAAAGAAAATGACTATGGGGATGCCTAGGTGGCTCAGTTGGTTAACCATCTGCCTTCAGCTCAGGTCATGATCCCAGGGTCCTGGGATCAAGCCCCACAGTGGGCTTCCTACTCCTCAGGAGCCTACTTTTCCCTCTGCCTGCTGCTCCCCCTTCCTATTTCACATGCTCTCTCTGTGTGTCAAATAAATAAAATCAGAAAAGAAAAGAAAAGAACTATAGATCTGGAAATATATAACTGCAAATATATCCTACAAAAATAAAGGGGAAACAAAAACTTTTACAAACACTGACTGAACTTATTGTTAATAGTAATGAAAGGAAATACTAATGAGAGTTGTTCAGGCAGAAAGATAACTAACCCAGACCGAAATATGAAAATGCAATACAGAATGAAGAGCAACAGAAAAAGTAAAGATACAGCTAAATCTAAATAGACACTAACAGGGTGCCTGGGTGCCTCAGTCCATAGAGCATCTGCCCTCGGCTCAGGTTACCATCCCAAAGTCCTGGGATGAGGTCCTACTGTGCTCCCTGCTCAGTGGGGAGTCTGTTTCTCCCTCTCCCTCTGTCCCTCCCTCTGCTTGTGTGCAGGTGGTATCTCTCTCTCAAATAAAATCTTGAAAAAATAAATAAACACTGACATAAAACAGTAATGTCTTGTGAAATATAAAATATATGCAAAATTAAGACAGACAACAACAACAGCACAAAAGTGGGAGGGGGGATAAAATGAAGTAAAATATCCTAAGGCCTTGCATTCTACATAGAGTGGTAAAAGTACTAATTTTATAGAACTAAAAAGTCAAGAGTGCATGTTATCATCTCTAGAGTAATGCACCAAACAAAATACAAGACAGTGTGTAACTAACAAAATACTGAGAAGAACAGAAATAGAGAAAAAGAAGGGCCATGACAAACAGGAAACAAAAACAATAGATTTGAACTCAACTATATCGGTGATTACATTAAATGTAAATGGACTACATTACATGGTCTACAGGTCAATAACAGACCAAAGTGAAAAACAAAACTTAATATATATGCTGGCACAAAGAAATAAAAATATTTCAATATAACAGAGTAGAAAATCCAGAAACAGATCTACAGAAATATATCCACTTGATAGATGATAAAGATGTCACCGCAGTACACAGGAGAATGGAAGGTCTTTTCAATAAATAGTGCTGGATAAACTAGTTATCCATATGGGGAAAAAATGAATCTAAATCTTTAACTTACATCACATATAAAAATTAGTGGCAAGGTAGATGATAAATCTAAATGTGAAAGGCACAAAAAATAAAACTTCCAGAAGAAAATCAGCTAATTCCTTCATGACCTTGAGGTATGCAAAGAGATCTTAAAAAGAACACAAAAAAGACAAAAATAAAGGAAAAGATGAACTGGATTTTATTAGAATTGATGGCATCTTCATCAAAAGATTACATTAAGAAAGTGAAAAGGCATGCCAGAGCAAGAAAAGACATCTGCAATACATATATCTGATAAAGAACTCTTAATCAGAATGCATAAAGTACTCATAAAATAGGCAATAAGACTAAAGAGGCAATCTATAAATCCAATAAACATGCAAAAGAGGTATTTAAACTCCTAAGCCTTCAGACAAATGTAAAATAAACCCAAAATGTGAGAATACTGCACCCACACTAGAATAGCCAAAATTTTTAAGACTGAAAATATCAAGTATTAGTGAAGATGGGGAGGAACTAGAACTCTCACACACACCTGGTATAATGAACATGCTATAACTACTTTGAAACTATCTTTGACAGGAGCTAGTACTACTGAGATCCACATTCCCTATCACCTAAGAATTCCATTCCAGGGTATAAACCCCCCAGATTTGAATAATATTATGTGTGCTAAAATACAGGTACGTGAAAATTCATAACAGCATTATTAGTGACCAAAATCTGAAAGGAAAAAAAAAAACTAAATATCCGCCAACAATATATGATGAATAGAACAGAAAAACAGCAGCATATTTACACAATGAGATACTCCATGGCAATGAAAATAATTACTGCTATATTCAGCAACATAGATGAATCTCAAAACATAAATGAACCAGACACAATAGAGTATAAATAATATAATTCCATTTATATAAAGTTTAAATACTAATAGAAGTCAAAATAATAGTTACCTTTGAAATTGGAAGGGAAACAAGGGAGAATTCTGAAGGAACAGGTAATGTTTTATTTTTCAATTGAGGGATAATAATAACCATATGTTCACTTTGTATAATTTCTACACATATGATCTGCTGATTGTTATGATGGCTAATTTTATATGTCAACTTCACTGAGCAAAGGGATGCCCAGATAGCTGGTAAAACATTATTTATAGGTATGTTTGTGAGGGTCTTTCCAGAAGAGATTAGCATTTGACTCAGTAGACTTAAAAAAGGTGACCTAACCAATGGCAAGTGAGCATCATCCAATCAGTTGAGGATCTGAATAGAACAAAAGGGAGAGGAAAGGTGAAACGGCTCTTTGCTGGATGAAACATCTATCTTCTGCCTTCAGACATCAGTACTTCTAGATCTGCAGCTTTGAAACTTACACCACTGGCTACCTTGGTTCTCAGGTCCCTGGGTTTAGACTAAAACTATATCACCAGCTTTCCTGGGCTTTCAATTCACAGATGACAGATTATAGGATTCAGCCTCTACAATCATGTGAGGCAATCTTTCATCAAAAATCTCTTTCTGGATATCTCTCTATATATGCTATCAGGTTCTATTTCTCTGAGGATCCAATTATAGTTGTATACATCTCCATACTGTGTTACATTTAAATTTTTAAGCTTACCCATATATAAGGTTTTCTTTTCTTTCTTGCTCTCTTTTTTTTTTTTTTTTAACAAGGTTTTCTTTTGAGGTAATGAAAATGTTTTGGAACTAGATAAAAGTGGTAGTTGCACAACATGAATGTGCTAAATGCCAATGAACTGAACACCTTAAAATGGTTATTTATGTTATATGAATCAACTCAATTAAAAAATAAAAAGGTATGCAAAAAAATCAACCACAACAATGTATAATTTATTAGACATTACCACAAATATTAAAAGCTGTAATGCTAAACTTACCAACTGCTGTGTCACCATCTAACAAATTGTCATCTTCAGAAGTCTGAAAGTCCATAATAACACCTGCTCCATCTAAAAGCTCCTCATCACTACTTGCACTTGTTATACTGTTGTAGCTGTTTCTATAGTATCCTCTATGGAACAGCTGCTCAGACTCCATTTAGCTGTCTGATTATCTGAAAAAAGAAGAAAAAAATGGTTTTAACATTTTTGCAATATCTAATGAAAATCACCTAGCTTAACAGGACAAAAAGAAACTTCTGATTTCTATATTTAAAAAAATATTAAGGTCATTCACTGTAACAACAGCTAACTCTCTGTCTTTTGGGATGATTTAATATTTCCATTCTCACTATGCAGCTACAAAAAGGAATGGATTTCTCTGGGAAGTGGCATAAAACAATCTGCAAGATCAACTGCTTAGTTAAAAAAGTACAGAGAAGGGGCACCTGGGTGGCTCAGTTAGTTAAGCATCTGCCTTCGGCTTAGGTCATGATCTCAGGGTCTGGGGATCAAGCCCTGAATCAGGCTCCCAACTCAGCTAGTAGTCTCCCTCTGCCCCTCCCCCTCTTCCTCTGCCTCTCCCCCTGCTCTCTGTCTCAAATAAATAAAATCTTTAAATAAATATTTTAAAAAATGTAAAAGTACAAAGAAGTGGGATACCTGGGAGCTTCAGTCAATTAATTGTCCAACTCATGATTTTGGCTAAGGTCATGATCTCATGGATCATGAGACAGAGCAGGTATTAGGCTCCATGCACAGCAGGGAAGTCTGCTTGGGATTCTCTCTCCCTCTTCCTGTGCCCCTCCCCCCTACCCACATGACCTTGAGCATGTACATGCATGCTCTCTCTTTCTAATAATAAATCTTTTTTTTTTTTTTAAGTATAAAGAAGTGTTTAAGGTATACTACAGTATATGTGGGGGTTTCTTATCCAAAAAAGGCAGGGGAGTCGGGGAGAGGAGAGGAAGAAATACAGGGTATAACTGTTTGTGTACATATAGACTATCTCTGGAGGGATTTCCAAGAAAGTTGCCTACAGGAGAAAAGAACAAAAGACTTAAGTACCAGGTCCAAAAGGGAGACTCTTTTGTCCCTTTTGAGTATTTTGCCAGATGGAAGTACTAATTTTAAAATGCTATAAATTTTTTTAGTATTAATTTCATTCTCCTTTCATTATTTTAAAATTTAAATCTTCAGAGTCCATTGTCAAATATCAGCCATGGAAAATATGATAATAAGCAATAATTTTCATTTTTTCAAAGCAATAATACCAAAAATGCTTGTTTTCATTGTTCTTACTCCCTAAAAACAATATGACTCCTAAATAGTTTGATTTTTTAAATACACCTTATCTGCTCAACATCTAAATGAGAGTTCAAGATAATAGCAATAGCCTTGAAAGGTTCATGTGTGGGACTTGAAAGATACAGTCATAAAAGCAGTCAAACCAGTAAGCCTTGTAAAACAAGAATATGTCATAATAACTACCTATGAAAATAAAAGGTAATGGCACTAAACATACTCCAATTCTAGGGCTGAATTCTACACTGAGGATTTGAAGTGTTTTAAGACAATCTCTTGTCCTTAGTAAACCATCCTTCTGCACATGGAAAAATAACCTCAAAGAGCTATAACAATTAAAAATTATTTATAAAGATTTTATACTTCTTTTTAGAAAAATAAAATATTGCCCAATACTATTTTTAACAGATTTATTATTATAAATTTCTTAACTTAATGATTACTTTAGAGAAGGTGAAGTTTTGAATACTCCTCAAGAGCATGTCTCTATTCTCAGCACCTGGCACATAATATACAAACAGCAAATGTCAAAACGTCCAATTGCTATTCTAGTCAATAAGGTTAAAAAGAAAAATGTATTCAATTTTCAATAAACAAATGCTCTCTACAACAATATTAACCTGGTCTTGGGAGAATAACCAAAAACTAGCACATAGAATACAAAGAAAAACTTAGCTGCTTTGCATTACTGCATCATCAATGTTTCAGGGTTACCTCTACCAAAGGCAGCCTATTATAACTTACCGATATTTGTCAGAACATAATTAAAGCAAGAGTTTTATGTTTAAGATAAATGTTAAAACAGAATAGTATGAAAACAACTGTTCATGCTAAGAACTTTGCAGTGTCCATAGAGGCAATCAAATTAAATATTGTGGCTCTTGAGTAAATACCCAAAAGCCTTTTAAAAAATAAGCATGAATAGGGGCACCTGGATGGCTCAGTCAGCAAGCATCTACCTTTGGCTCAAGTCATGATCCCAGGGTCCTGGAATCAAACCCCGCATTGAGGCTGCTTCTCCCTCTCCCTCTGCCTGCCACTCCCGTTGTTTGCGTTCTCTCTGTGTCAAATAAATAAAATCTTAAAAAAAAAAAAACATGAATAATTCCAAGAATCCTTTTAATTTTGATGTATCAAAGCAACATATGCTAAGATTTTGGAAAAAATACAAGGATTCTATTCTTCACTTCTTTACCTCATGATCAGACTAGAAGGGCTTTAAGACATGTGATAACACACATCAATAAACATTAGTTGGAGGCTACATATCACTAAAAAATCTCTCTAAAATAATTACAAATGCCTGTGTACTGGGACCTCAAACAGCAAGTTCCAAGATATCTCTTCCATTTATTCTTAAAAGTGCCTCAAAAACCATTAGTGATAACTGGCAACTTAATTCTTTCAAAATGTTTTTAAAACTTAATTTTGGGGTGCTTGGGTAGCTCAGTGGGTGAATCATGGGGCTCCTATTCTGGCTCAAGTCATGACTGCAAGGTTGTGAGATTGAGTTGGGCAAGGAGCCTACTTAAAATTCTCTGCCTGCCCCTCCCCACCTCCCACCCCCCGGCACCCCTCTCACTCTCTACCCTCTGGGGAAAAAAAAAAAAAAAAAAACTTAATTTCACCAATATCTCTGAGACATCTATCCCCCACACCTTTATAATAAGACCAACTCTGTTCCAAAAGTCTATTAAACTCGGGGCTGGATGGGTTATTTCTACAAATTTGATAATTAAAAAAAAAAAAACTATTCTTACAAACCTAGGAACCCACAGAGCTGTACACCAATCACTGTCAGTAGCCTTGGAACATGGCTAGTCCAAACTGAGATGTGCTCAAAGGTAAAATGCCTACCAGATTTCTAAGGCTTAATGCAAAAAAAGAATGTCAAATATTCTGCTAATAATTTTTATTTTGATTCCATGTTGAAATAATATTTCAGATATTTTGAGTTACAGGACTTAAAATTAGTTTTCTCTTTACCTTTTTAATATGGCTTAAAAAATGAAATTACATGTGGCTCACATGTGCAGCACAAATACTGGTACTGAACAGCACTGCTACATGATATCCAAAATTCTATGGGAGCATAAAGGAAATGCACAGAACTCTAGATACCAGTAATAAATCTTTTTAAGTTCTAAACTCAATTCCCAGGCTTGCTCACAGAAATCGATTTAAACCATAATATGGCAGCTGAAATTATGCATATTAAAAATACTGAAGAGCGCCTGGGTGGCTCAGTGGGTTAAGTAACTGCTCAGGTCTTGATTTCAGGGTCCTGGGATCAAGTTCTACATCGGGGGTGGGGGGGTCCCTGCTCAGCAGGGAGTCTGCTTCTCCCTCTGACCCTCCCCTCTCATGTTCTCTCTCTCTTAAATATATAAATAAAATCTTAAAAATAAATATATTGAAGGGGCGCCTGGGTGGCTCAGTGGGTTAAGCCGCTGCTTTCAGCTCAGGTCATGATCCCAGGGTCCTGGGACTGAGCCCCACATCGGGCTCTCTGCTCAGCAAGGAGCCTGCTTCTCCCTCTCTCCCTCTGCCTGCCTCTCTGCCTACTTGTGATCGCTCTGTCAAATAAATAAAATCTTAAAAATATATATATTAAAAATACTACAAAGTCACCTTTTCCTCTTTAATTGCCAAAAAATGTATTTGAAATCATTTCAAAACATAATAGACACAGAGTAGCCTGCAAATATATTCTTGCAGTTATGAAGATTAGAAATAACCTATGAAAATCTCCAGGGAGAAAGCCTGGTCTACTGCAGTAAATTCCTAAATGATCACAACATACAATGATCCTGACCCCCTCTAATCTGATCTTCATTTTGCAGCCAGCATTGTCTTTTCTAAAAGCAAGTCTGATCAGTAATCTCTCCCCACTCCACGGGTTAAAGTCCTAATCACTTCTCACCAACCTTATCAAACTCTTAAACACAGCAGGCAAGACCCTATGCAGCCTGGCCTCTGCCTAGTTCTGTAGTTTCATTTTGAAGTGTGTACTTCTTGCAGTACTCTGGACTCACTGATCTTCGTCTCAGTCCTACCAGGCTATTTCCTGTCTTATAGCTCTCTTAGCTTGGAACAAACCCTCTCCTCGCCATCCAATTAACCTTCCTATGTATTCTTCAGATCTCATATGAACTATATCTTTATTTAACAAACTCTTAAACAGAGTTCACTATATGTATGACACCATCCTAAACATGACACAAATTTACTCAGTTTATAGCTGGATTAAATACAATCACAATCCTAAAGCTTAGGATTAAAGCTATTATTATACTCATTTTATATACTCATATTATACTCATTTAACAGACGAGGAAACTGATGCACAGAGTTTAAATAATTTACCCAAAGTCACGGAACTAGTAAGGAAAGCCTCCCTGACCTACTGACTACCTGGGCAAATTTTCCCTGAGTAGGTCAAATTTTCATTGTTAGTTCTTAGATCTCTCCTTTGTATCACTTACTACAGTTGTAATCTTATACTTATTTATGTGACTATTTAATTAACATCTTCCCAACTATAATATATATCATAAGGTCTGGCAAGGTGTCAATTTTTGTTCAGCACTGCATATTTGATGGTCATTAGCACAGCACCTGGCATATATTAGGTGTTCCATGTTATTTTATTAAACTTTTTGAAGTAATTGTGATTTCACATGCAGTTGTAATAAATCATACAGGGATATCCTGTGTACCCTTTACTCAGTTTCCACCATTGGAAAAACCACAGAACAATATCACAATCCAAACACTGACACTGATAGTACACTCAAGATATAGAGCATGTCCATCACCACAGCATCCCTCATGTTGCCCTTTTATATAGCCACACGTACTTTCTTCCAAC